AATCCTAAGGCAGCATGGGACTGTCAAAGTCTAAACCATGACAAACCGTCATGATCTAAAAATATTGAAAAGGTATAAAACTTTATTTATTTCTAGACCAATAAATGGAGAGTGATAAAAACAATTATTTATTTATTGGCGTTCTTGTACTAGTCGTATAACGTGATTGCGATAAAATTTCAAACAGCCGGATCTTTTATCGGTTGGTAACCATCGTGACCTAGTCAGCAGCGTCTCTGCCTAGAAACCACAGGGTCGTGGGTTCGAATTCGCCTGGAATTCATTTTTTCCTGAGTCAAAATCACTACTTTTTGAAGTAGAATCATTTAAGACATGCGGTCAACGTTTAATAATTCGGATTGCGTCCCATATTTTAAATACTTTCAATCCAGCTCGATATGTCGTTGGACGTGAACGTTGCAGCTGCACCCGCGCAAGCTCATGTGGTTGTGGCCCTGTCGACCAATCAGGATTTTGGCGTCGCGCCACCGGTTTTTCTGCGACACGAGCTACTTAAATCTGTGGTGTTCAAGATGTCCTATAAGTTACTTTTGTGACGTGTTTGTAAAACTGAAGCCGAAATTATTGTTTTACGCTACACTATTGAAAAATCCGGCAAAAACTTCTAGTGACATTCGGTGAAAAGGGGTTAATTTCCACTCATTTCCACCAGAAAGCAGCGTAGTTTACCAGTCTTTGGTGGAAATATTACCGGCCGCCACTTCCAGTAACCAGATTTCGCTGGACCTTTTACCGAAGCCACTTGCGGTTAGAATCCGGCAAAAACTTCCCGTGACAATCGGCGGAAAAGGGGTTAATTTCCACTCATTTTCACCAAAAACCAGCGTTGCCACTTTCGCTCGAAGTTATACCAGAACCACTTTCGATTACCCGCCGCTGGAATCCTACTGGAAGCCACTCTCGTTTGCCGGATACCGAACATCACTGGAAGCCGACGCAAGGGGAACGGCTAAAGTCAAGAAAGCCAAGACGAGCAGGGGGACTGTGATTGTAATGGCGGCCGCCAATGCAGCGGCATTCTCGTGAGTGCGTGTTTTAGCTCGAAACGACGTTGCATTTCTGCAAGAACTGCGTCCAGCGAACTGTTTTGACGATCCAAAAAGGTGGGCAGCGATCACCGGCAACGATATTTGCGACAGGCAAAAGTCTGGGCCAGAGTAGGTACGAGACCACTCGAGCGGCATTGTCGTCAGTGCGAGTTTTAGCTCGGGACGACGTTGCAATCCTCAGGAAGTGCGTGCAGTGAACTGTTTTGACGATCCAAAAAGGTGGGCACTTTCACCCGTTTTCATCCGAAACCAGTTTACCAGTCTTTGGTAGATTATTTGCCGGCGAACAGATTTCACTGGAATGTCACTGCCAGCCCCATTCGTATACCAGACGACCCGGTTTTCCCAGAAATCTTACCCGAGACGGGTCACTCGCTTCCCTGTTTACCGACCTTCACCCGAAGCCGACGCGAGGGGAGGGTGAAGCCGAGACGAGCCGGGGACTGGGTGTGTAATTATGATGACTCGCACCAAGGACGAGTCCCCACGCACCCTCTCTCCCTCGCATGGGGTTCGTGGGGAAAATGCAAGAGGGTCGTTTTGCTCACTCATTTTTTTTTTTTTAAGAAAGCCGGTTTTTTTGTCTGTCAGCGAGCAACGGCCGGCCAGAAACAAACGCTCAGTTTCGGCTTCTCGTTCCATGTGTGCGACCTGTATCTTCCAAAGCAGCTGGGTGTGCAGATGAAAAGAGTATATTTTTCAGTGACCTGTTTCTTGCGCCTCTTTGTCTCTCCGTCCTCAGAAGCATCCAGCGAGCGAAAAAGACTGTCCCCAAGATTTCTCAACGTCGGCGGATGTTCGTTTCGAGCGTTCGTGGTTTTCGCTAAGCGTGCTACTGACGCCTGGTGCACCCGCGGCGACGGCATGAGGGACGACATCGTGAGTGTGCCCGGGATTTCTCAACGGCGGCGGATGTTCGCTCCGCGCGTTCGTGGTTTTCGCTAAACGTGCTGCTGACAGTATACGTGTGTGTGTCCGTGTGGTGCACCTGGGCGATTTTATTAGTTTAACTACCGTGCATCTAGGAATGTACCCACCGGCATTGTGAGTACCTTGAAAGATATCTTTTGCGGCAAAGAACTTGGTTGTTCCTATTTGGTGTGATTGCTTTTGTCTACATCTGTGCAAATTTTTTCACTGGTATCGACCCTGTTAAAGAAATACATAGATCCTTCAGGTCTATATGGACTAACCACTCTGTTATCGAATCGTCCAGCATCTGGTAAACATAACCAACCATGGTTCACAGGCTTCCTCCCAAGTGCCTTCCGTTGACATTCGAAAAAACAAAGAAAAAGCACGGTAAATTCCGGACAATCTGGTGATCTTCTGGTAAATTCTGGCTTTACTGGAAGTGAAAGAGTCCCATAGTCCAGTAAAATAGCATTTTACTGGAAATAAGCTTCCGGTAAAAATCCGGTGACATTATGATAAAAAATTTGGTGCCATTCCGGTAAAAATCCGGTAACATTCCTGTCAAACAAACGGTGACAGTCCAGTAAAAAATCCGGCGAGATTCCGGTGAACTACGGCTTTACTGGAGGTGACAACAGTCCCATAATCCAGTAAAATAGACTTTTACTAGAAATGACATACCGGTAAGAAATATTTTTCAATAGGGTAGTAAACAAATTTGGGTGATAAAACGAAGAAATGTGGGTTGTATAATAGATGACAGGATTCCAAATAGCTCCGTATTTTTGAAAATGTTTCAGGACCACTTACCACAAACGATTTTAACCAAGTTTGTAAACAGAGCTTTACGAGTTCATTTGATGTGAATGCTGTGGAACGCTGGGACGTGGATATATTTCAGAAACATTGAAAGGACAGCAGGCTAGATTACTTCTAACAGAAAAGAGACTTCTTCAGCTCACTGATTCTACTTAGCTGGAAACACCCATCGTTCCACTGGTCATCCTAGGCATGAGCAAAGATGCACAAAAACAAGCGTAGGCAAAATCTTCAAAGGCCATCGAGGTACTTCCGAATTAAGTGAGGTCGTAAGCGCCGATTGCATAACTACTTAAAAGCACCAACGACCAGGTTCCATCCTAAAAATAAAACTTTCAACGTTTGTAGCGGAACCCTATTGAAAATCGCTCCGATGGAACTTCAGGATTTTTTTTAAAGGGTGTGAAGGGGACTTCAGGAATTTCTGAGATGTTTGACGGGGGCACCGATATTTCCTGGTGGGTTCGCTGGCCCCGTCAGAGGCTCTCCTGAAGTCTGAGGCTCTCCTCTGGGCAACGGCCTAGGTAGAAAAAACATATTTCTCAGAATTAATTGACATAGCTGCTTATTGTACGCTACGGGGGAAAAGTAAGTATTTGGAGAATGCCGATCGTGTGTGTGTACGGTCAGATTTTTATTACTGCTCCTCTATCAAATACGAGTGGGCTGCTGGACCCGTCTGTGACTGCCCGGGTGTTCGGTCGCCAAAGAGGCCACTGAGGGCGACCGCCCCATGTGGAGAATTGACGAGCTGCGGGCCAAGTGGAGTTGGCCGAGCGGTGTTTTGAGGCGAACGCAATCCTTTCCGCTCGAGGCTAAATCCGTGCAACCATGTATAAAAAAAAAAAAAAAAAGCCGTGAGCAGTGCGCGCTTTTTAGGAACAGGGACGCACGCGGGAGCGACTCGGTCCGGGAACCGGTCCCTCCACGGGGGACTGTCCCCAAAAAGCAATCGCCTCTCTCCGCCCGGCGTTGGGGAGAGGGTCCCGGCGCATGTTGTGCCTGCGCACCGGGATTATGGCACTGTGGGTGTTGAGACGGTGGATGACGGCCGCTGTCCGGACTTGTTCCTTGCGCCTCTTCGTCCGCCCGACTTCAGACCAGCGAGCGAAAAATACGCCGAAGACGCCGGCGCGATGTCATCATGGACGAAACCGTGACTGTGCTCGGGATTTCTCAACGGTGGCGGGTGCTGCTTACGAGTTGGTGGTTTTCGCTAAACGTGCTGACTAAGACTGTGTATGTGTCCGTGAGGTGCACCTGCTCGGTTTTATTAGCTGAACTACCGTACATCAGGAATATACCCAGCGGCATTGTGACTACTTTGAAAGGTATTTTTCTTTGTGATAAGGATGACAGTTGTCCCTGTTTGATGTGATCTCTTTCGTCTACAGCTCCTTGCGCCGGGTTTGAACAAGCGTTGTTTTTTATCACCTTTTTGAGTTACAATATGCATGTAAAACTAAATGTCGGCAATAAATTTTTGAATGTTTTGACCTGCATTTTGTCTTTGGTTCACAGTCATTTGGGCGTCTAAGGGGTTGTTGGGCTAAAGGGTCTGACGGGTTGAAGGGCTGCGGGCTAAAGGGTTTTTCAATGGGGTATCCTTGAAGGGTTTTTCTGTACGGTATTTTTGAAGGGTTTTGAAGGCCTGTGAGATCCCATAATCCTTCAAGGCTGACGGGCCCTTTAGAAATATTTTCAATAGGGAAGCGAGCTTCCACCACCACTTGTAACACGCCCTTAATTAAAAAGTTAAGAACCAGTTGGCCTAATCGGATCGCAGACGACAATACTTAGAAGGAGCCAAACATCAAATTGAAAAGGGTGTGTAGTTCCACCTTATATAAAGAAAAGGACTGCTGACTCTGTAAGAGTACAACATTCTCTATGTTTTGCTATCGTCAGGTAGACATGTTGATGCCTTAGTTGACAATGGTGGACCTAACAGACTTGTTAATAAGTATATCGTGGACACGTGAAATATACAGATTGAAACGCTCATCGACGTTCACAGCTGTGTCGATACTGTTGGGGGACACTGAAAATTGAGTTCCAAGGAAAATAAACTTATGGTAAAGGCACTCGCGGTGGAAGGGGTCGAGTTTCTGTTCATTTATAACAGCCTAAAATTGAGCGTATTAAAATGAACGTATCTTGGAAAGACGAGGTGACCCTCGACCAGGGTGCAAAAGTTCAGCCGGGGGTTTTTGCGACGATCCTATTGTGAAAAGTGCTGAAGACGTGCCTGCCCCTTGCCTGGATCAGAATCTGTAAGAAGGCCTTCTCAATATCTGCGGTGAAGGCAATCGCAGGACGTCGGAAGTTGATGATCAGCTGTAACATGTCCGGATTGAGGCTTGGGCCCGTAGACAATGCATCGTTGAGGGACAGACAGCCCGGTGCCTTTGCAGGCGCATCAAACACGATGCGTATCTTAGTCGTAGAACTGTCAGGTCTAAAAACAGCACGATGAGGCAAGTAGTAAACTCGTTTCCAAGTGGTATCCACCTCGCCTGCTGGCACTTTTTCAGCAAAACCTTCTTTCAGGTAGCTACGGATCGCTGAGTCGTACTGCGTCAGTCTTTCGGTGTTGCCTTTTAAACGCCGAACCAACTTGTCTAGACGCTGTAGCGCAACGGCTTCGTTGTTCTCTAGGGGTCGATTTAGGGGCTTCCACGGGAGGTTTGCCTCATAACGGCCCATGACCAGAGCTAGGGAGGAAGTAAAATCTTCTCTTACTTGTTCTTCCTCTTTTCCGCGCGGAGAGTCGTTCACGGAGATTCCGAGGCTCTCCAACTCCCAGAAGGCTCGAAGTTCGTTTGAGAGGCTCAAGGTCGGTTTTGCGACGCCGGTGTTCAAGACGGCCACAGTAGTGCAGGACAGCACAGAAGAAACCTGAGGAACTGGGCCCTGCAGTGTCCAGCCAAAGTCCGTCTTCAGCGCGACCAAGGATCCGTGTATCTTGCGGACTTCCCCGCTCACCATATTCCAATAGTGATCTGCCCCCACTAGGATTTCAATGCTCCGCTTGGAATTAAGGGAGGGTGAAAGGGTTACATCGGCTAATTCTAGCTCTCCCACGCCAGCAAGGTCAACCACGTTGCCGGGAAGCACCAACTGGTCAGAACAGATGTTTTCTATTTCAAGGGCTTCCAAGCAGTGTTCTTTGCGGCTGTATTGGCTTCGCAACCAAAGTCGCACTAGCCGACGTTTTCTCGTAGTTCCACCGGCTGTTCCGCCAAACGAATTGATGGTCACCTCCTCATCGCTGATCACTTCCAACCTCAGCTCTCGTGAGAGCTGCTCGGTGACGAACGAACGTTGGCTGCCTCCGTCAAACAGACAGCGAGCAAGACGCTTCCGGTCTCGTCCGTCTACCCATAGCTAAGTATTTAGGAGTCCTGCTTATTAATTAACGTGTTTTCTTTTGGTTAGGAAAGTTTATCTTTCCAGAGTTGCGTCGGCATTGTGTTTTTTTAGCTTTCTACGTTTGGGTCGGCGGGGCCAGAGCGGCCGCGACGCGGGAGCGGTCCCCCCCGCGGTCGTTAAGAAGCGTCTCGGGTTTCGGGGGTCTGCTCGGACCGGGACCGAAAGAGCCCGCACTGGAAGATGCTTGTGGCTTATAGCCGAATGTTCGTGTATGCAGAGGGTTTTGCCGCTTTGTATAAAATTGTCGCTTTTTGCCCGATGCAATAACTTAGCGGTTGGCGCCAGTGAGGCTGGGAAAATTGCAGAGAACAACTCTACGAGGAATTTAGGTTTGACCGTTAGGGCGCCAGGATGACAGCTCGCCGACCATTGGAGAACAGTTTACCACGTGTGAGTGGCGGAATTTGAAGAGATTGGTCGGTTCCTGAGGGGAAAGGAGGCCCCTACGGACCTACAAAAAGAGCGCGGAGAGGATTTTGAGGGATTCGGACTTTGGATTTGATGGAGAGAAATTGGGGACGGGGGTCGAGACTTTAGACGAGGCAGGATGATTTCCCAAGTTGGGACTTGTAACTAGAGTGTAAATAAATGCACATAGTTCTATTCAAGCAGTGAGTCGACCCGTCACTCAGCGACGTTCGTGCCACCACGCTCCAGACCATCGAAGCGGAACCTGCCTCCCACACCACCGGGAGGAACAACTTTAACTGGCGCAGTCGACAGGATGGTGGCGCGATTTCCGGTGAGACGACGTGGCGGCGACCTGCGGGCAAGTACGTGAGCTTCGGCTCGACGGCGGACGAGGCAACATCCACGTGAGAAGCCTCGTGGGCTCCGGCCCGAAGTGACCAGGACGACATCCCCGTGAGAGGTTTTGGGGGTTTCGACCCGACGTCAACGGTGGACGAGGCAACATCCACGTGAGAAGCCTCGTGGGCTCCGGCCCGAAGTGACCAGGACGACATCCCCGTGAGAGGTCTTGGGGGTTTTGACCCGACGTCAATGGTGGACGAGGCAACATCCACGTGAGAAGCCTCGTGGGCTCCGGCCCGAAGTGACCAGGACGACATCCACGTGAGAGGTCCTGGTGGGTTTCGACCCGAAAAGAAGAAGGCGACATCCCCGTGAGAGGCCTCGTGGGTTTCGACCCTGTGTGAACAAGGCGACATCCTCGTGAGAGGCCTTGTGGGTTACGACCCGAAGAGAACGAGTGGACGGAGCAACATCCACGCGAGAAGCTTCGTGGGTTACGGCCCAAAATACAGCGACGACGCAGCATCGTCTACGTGAGAGGTCGCGTGGTGTTGCGACCCGAAGAGCGGACCAGCCTTGCCCGAACCCAAGACCGACTCCGGTGGGTGACGTCCAGCGACACCGGAGAGGCATCGCCTCAGGAGCGGCGCACTGACACAGGTGGGACTCATTTCTGTTTCCTCCGGGTTTCGCATGTCAGTGGTGTCGCGGTCGATGACTAAAAGAGCTCGACGTACAATGAGTTAGAATGGGGATTAGAGCCCGGCAATGTTGGATGACGTATCAAAAGGGGGAGGGAGTGAAAGGGAGAACGCTCTCCAGCTAAAAATTGCATCTTTAAGACTCAAACTCGAGATAGCCAAATTTTACGCTAATCAGGACGAGGAGAATTGGCGCCGCGGTGGGAAAAATAAGGGCCAGGTTGGAGCGAATGGGAAATTCGAGGTGGTCGTCAAGACGGGCGAACAACACCTAGTGGAGTGGGAAAGTATCCTGCTGCCGTGGACGACATGCCCGGAACAGGTGAACATCGAGGCCCGCTGCGAAAGCGTGAGCGATGGTGACAGCGGCGAAGGGAGTGAGGGCGATAACGCGTTTGAGCTAAAAATTGCAGCTCTAAAAGCCAGGCTCGAGATCGCCCAATTTAATCTGAAGCAGGCAGAAGAGAAGTCGCGCCGTGGTAGGAAAGACGAGGGCCGGGTCGGAGCGGGCGGCGCATCCGATGCGGTTGTCAAAACGGACAACGTACACTCCAAACCCACCGAGAAGATAGACGCGGACAGCGATGACTGCGGCGACATCGAGGTCGAGCCGGCGGTCCGGACGGGCAAAGGGCACCAGAAGCCCACCGGGAAAACGGACGACGACGACGGGTTACCCGAAATCTTGAACGGGCGGCAGAAGCTTGAAAATCCGGAAGAAGACCGCGAGGAGAACGCATACGGCGATGACTGCGGCGGCCGCGAGGTGAAGCCCGTTAATAGGAGAGCTGACGCGAACGAGGCAGATGCACCCGCCGGTGATCCGGTGACGCAAGGAGGCGAGAGCGAGAGCGGGAGCGATGGTGACGGCGGCGACGAGGGGACGAACCCGGTTGGCGACACCGAGCGCCGGGATCCAGGGAACCCCGGCGCACCGGTCACCGCAGCACTGGGCAGGCAAGGGCCGTCCCAGGCTGGGAGGAAACGGCTGCGCAAGAAGCGCATCGCCAGGTCGGAGTCGGCGGTCAACAAGAACTCCGGGTCCAACCCTGCATCGGCTCCGGGCTACGACAAGGACGGTCATGCAGAGGATGTGAACGACGGCGAGAGGACGGCGAAGAGAGCCTTGATTCCTCCGATCCAGGCGTCGAGACGGAAGCTCCGACTGCGGAGAGGCGCCGACTTCGGGACCAGGGCCGTGTCGTCGCCGAAGGTCAGGCCGGTGGTGCATCGCAGGGCGACGCCCAGGGACAAGGTTGCGTCGCGCTACTCCAGAAGGGGGAGTCTGGACGCAAAGTGCTGCGGGGGCGGCAAACGCCAAATGAACACGGAGGAGACGAGGAAGCCACACCGGTTGGTGCCCAGAGCTCGCACGCGGGAACAGCAGACTTCAGGTTTGGGCTCGGGATCGGCGGGTGTTGCGGAAGCGACTGACTGCGAGCCGCCCCAGGTAGTCCTCAGAACGTCTTTAACGGCGACGAGATGGACCACCAAACGGCCACGATTAGGGGGGTAGCTAGCCAGGCTACTAGGTTTTTATTTCACTTTTAGTCTACATTTATGTCGCGGCCCCCCTGATTCATTGTTCTTTTGGCCTTCGGTTGGCCCCTCGGTATATTATATTTTACGAAATATATATTTTTTATGTTCGGTTTTTATTCTCTGCGGGAGAAATTTTAGTGTACACACGTAATTGAAACGTGTTTTGTAGCATGTCGAGGCTAAATAGGCATGATTAGGGCGTGGTCATTCTGCCACAGTTTTGAGAGCTCCCACCACTGATTTTGCGGGACCCTGGAATGTACAGGTGTGGGTCCAACTTGTGTGTGATCGTGGGTGGCAGTTTGACTTTGAACATGACAGCTATCACGGAAATTTTTCTTTTGTGTGCCGAGTCTGGTGTGTGTTGGACATTTTGCCTGCGGCAGCCGTTTTAGTGTTTCTGGTTTTGGAATTGTAACCATTTTCTTATTTTTATCGGTGCCATTTGAATGTGTTCACATTTACGGATGATCAGTTCGTGAACTTTTAGAGCGTGATGTTGACGTTGTTGCTTTTGGTTAACTGTGGGCCAAGTAGTTGGTTCGAATATTTGCCAGTGCGATATTCGGGGAAGGAATTTATGTTGCGCTTACATCAAGTGTCAACGCAACAGTCTTGGTGGGGAGGAGTTAAGTATTTAGGAGTCCTGCTTATTAATTAACGTGTTTTCTTTTGGTTAGGAAAGTTTATCTTTCCAGAGTTGCGTCGGCATTGTGTTTTTTTAGGTTTCTACGTTTGGGTCGGCGGGGCCAGAGCGGCCGCGACGCGGGAGCGGTCCCCCCCGCGGTCGTTAAGAAGCGTCTCGGGTTTCGGGGGTCTGCTCGGACCGGGACCGAAAGAGCCCGCACTGGAAGATGCTTGTGGCTTATAGCCGAATGTTCGTGTATGCAGAGGGTTTTGCCGCTTTGTATAAAATTGTCGCTTTTTGCCCGATGCAATAACTTAGCGGTTGGCGCCAGTCAGGCTGGGAAAATTGCAGAGAACAACTCTACGAGGAATTTAGGTTTGACCGTTAGGGCGCCAGGATGACAGCTCGCCGACCATTGGAGAACAGTGTACCACGTGTGAGTGGCGGAATTTGAAGAGATTGGTTGGTTCCTGAGGGGAAAGGAGGCCCCTACGGACCTACAAAAAGAGCGCGGAGAGGATTTTGAGGGATTCGGACTTTGGATTTGATGGAGAGAAATTGGGGACGGGGGTCGAGACTTTAGACGAGGCAGGATGATTTCCCAAGTTGGGACTTGTAACTAGAGTGTAAATAAATGCACATAGTTCTATTCAAGCAGTGAGTCGACCCGTCACTCAGCGACGTTCGTGCCACCACGCTCCAGACCATCGAAGCGGAACCTGCCTCCCACACCACCGGGAGGAACAACTTTAACTCCATACTTGAGCCGTTTGTAGCATTACGGCGTTCTTGTTGATGGCATTCAAAGACGCCAGGGAGTGGAGCTCGGTAGTGTCGGTCGCTCCTTGATAAGACGGAGGTGACGTACCACAAAGTGGAGTGATATGGCGTCGGCCACATTTGTCGCAGCGAAGGAACCGATTTCGACATTC